CAAAGAAAGGCATTAGTGCTCCAGAGCTGGTTACAGACTGGGGAGGCTGTTGAAGGGAGCTCATTCTATGCAGCTCTACATCAGCTCTTCTGTAGAAGAAACTCACACAGGGAATAACAGCAAAAGCACCGGCTTACTTTCAAAAGCGGATCTTTAAAAGCTGGAATGATCATAAAGCAAACGTTGACTGGACAACCTCTTACCCTGTATATCATCCCACCAAAATCCTTAACATACTGGAGAACTCTGTTTTTATTAAGGTTTGCAAGAGGTACCCATCTAATGAGTACATTTGAAGCTCTGCAAATTACTTCAGCGAGATTAGAATCCCCTTCTCTCCCCATTCCAATGCACATACTTAAAGATCTGTGCTGACTGGGAACTTGACTTCGCAAGTCTAGTGCCCAATTAACAGGAGAAATCTTAAGCTATTGCAGTCCAAACTTTCTAGTTAAGGAAGCATCAATTTTCCTCCCATTAAAAATAAGCAGTTCTTAAAACACGTCCAAGACCATAAGAGTAAACGCTGCACTTAAGTATGAGTATCAAACCTACCCAATTAAGAAGCAATATTTCTATTTTATTGATATTCATTTCATAGTATAAATATCGCTTCTGACTATTTGGATAAGCTAAACCTTAAACAGAATTTAAGTGATGACAGCTTTCATCTGATGCTGAATAATTTTGTCCTGTCTTTTAAACAAGACTGAAGTTCTTTGATACTAATGCTTCCCAAACTCCATTAGTGACATCAGAATATTTAAAATCGACCACTGCCTTCTGGCTCTACATGACCCTTCTAACCAGTGAGTGCCATAGCTGCACTGCAGTGTCTACTTGAGGCAAGACTTGGTCTACCCCTGGATAATTAAGGTGAAGTAACTGAAGTAAAACAGGAAATACAATACATACAGAGAATATTCACAAGGGTTTAAAGCATTTTGACTAAGCTCATGAAACGTACTTCATTAGCTAGTTGAGATTAACTTCGAGCCCCTGAACAGACAATTCCAGTCTTAATTCCAAATATTCATTCAATGTATAAGATCAATCTTGTAACTTCAAATTACTGAACTATTTTCAGTAAGCCCAGCAAACTAAATCCAAGACTCTATGAAAATAAAGTATTGTAGGTTTCATCCAGAGAAGAAAACGTAATCCTGAACAGCTTTTCTAGTTTATTGGGGTTTTTTAGTTTCATACTAAGTTTAAAGGAAGTAAGAAGCAGTTTAAAACAAAAGTAATAAGCAAACTCTAGAACTCTTGAATTAACTCATCTTTACAAAAGCTACACCTTTGGTTAAACTAATAAAGAATTCCATGCAGTCTCCATTGCTGCGTATTACATCCAATCTCAAAAAAATATGGTTATCACCAGGGTTCGCAGCACTTCTTACTATGAGCATCTGCGGGAATGGGGTTAAAGCTGCAATTAATTATACAGGTAGGAGTAGCACTGGAGGCCATAGCCTTGACGAAAAGAGTTATTCTCCACTCCACCATGGTCAATGGAAGCCTTCAATATGAACTAAAATTTCAATAAATGGCTTTGCCACCTTCAGCCTTTAGCTTCCTGGATGCCAACTTCCCCTGAGATTTTCTATTAAAATACCCTGACATAATGATACCAGGTGCCTTAACCAAAGGGACATAAAGCATAATTGGCACAAGTATTTTTAAGGATTTTCAGATGAGACATTTCATGCATACACGTCCTATATTAATTCTATTAATCTCCTGCATTAGTTCTACTTTTAGCCTATCAAAACTACCACTCATGCCTTTTATACTACCTCACTCTAATGGATGCGTATAGCAGTGATAAAATGGATGTGCATCAATGATGTAACATCCTCACGTTTTCTCAATTTTACACATTCCCAATTCTGTACTCCTACATAAATGCTTCGCTGCTACCAGATCATCATCATCATTTGAAGTGGAAGTGCCAACATGCTGCAATTACAGGATGTGCATTTAGCAGGTACCACTTGACACTTCAGACCAATACCACATGCCACAAGCATGTGTCAAGCATTTACATACAAGTTCATAAATCAACATGAATTTGTTGAAAATTGGGTGGAAAAAAGAGTTGGGGAAAAAATTTCACCCTCAGGAAACAGTTAAGATGTAGGTTCGCATTATTCCATGGCAAAAGCAGTTGCTTGTTATAATAAAACAACTGCCACTCTTGTACGAAGCAAGCCGTACAAATAAAAGCAGTGTTCTGCCAATCAAATGCAGGCTGCCCTCAGAGCAGATGGCACCGATGTGACCATAAGCTCCTGCATAACATAAACTCTCTGGGAATGGCTATGTACCTGACAACTACTTGAGTCTGGAGAGTGCTTTAGAAAGGGTGTTCCAGAAGTAGATAACCCAATACATAACACACAAATACTCATATGCTTTCATTTGCAAGCCAAAAGTAGAATTTGCCAGTTATGTGTTAAGTAGGAGTTGATGCATCCGGAACGTGAACATCCTTCAAATTAAATTTACACACACTAACACAGACTGAAAGTCTTGATTTACACAGTATAATAAAAAAACTTTGGTTTGCTTGATATGTACATTTAATAAAGAGGGAGTCAGACAAACAGACTGAAAAAACCTTCACTGATGCATCTGGGATGTCATCTGCTGCAGGAGACAACAAATTCTAGTCCTGACAGGTAATACCGCAAGTTGGACTAAATCAGCTGTGCGATTACAATGTTCTGAGGTCCTGATCTCTCTTTAGCCTGCTATGATCTAACACCAACAGCATACTACAAGGAAGTGGAGAGTTTCAAGGTCTGATTTGTGACCTTATGACTAGAAGACAGGGGATCCCATCTCTGTCTTAGCGGTTCGCAGGATTAAAGTCTAAATTCACAACTGTCTCGTTGCAAAGTTGGTCCTGCTATTTTTGGATTTCGGCCTCAGTAAACACTCGAAGCCATGCTTGGGAAGAAAGCAACTTGCAAGCAGTGGTTTCAGTTTAGCAAAATGTCACTTTCCAGGTTGGCAAATACAAAATCAAAACGGTAAGCCATATATGAACTTGGAAGTGTACCTTGTAACAGTGTAAACCAATTAAAAATAGCACCTCCAAAAAAAAAAAAAGAAAATAAAAAAAGCCAAACCCATAACAACCAAAAAACCCAAACTAAAACGAACAAGAAAAAACCCTAACCCACGCATCCCACCAATTCTAAACTCTAGTACTGGGCAAAGGAAGAAGCTTCATACTACACAGTACTGTACAGTGTAAGGACCAGTAAGCACACTGCTGCAAGGACAAGACACTGCACACAACAGGCCAAGGCCTTAAAGTCGAAGAGATGACTTAGTGATTCAAGAGCCATGTTGAATCGCTTTAAGGTTCTGACCACCAGATGACTACCTAAGTGGGGGTTTGCCTCGGTTCATGTTTGACAATAAATTCTTACCTGCAGCGCCTGAGCGTGTTTCATAAGCATGAGTTGATGACAAAGCATACCAGGGAGTATCCTAGCTGTGTTTCAACTCAAGTGATATCATCCACTAATACAGGGGAACAAGTTCTGATGGCAGATTCAAAAGGAATTGTTTTGAAATTCTTGTGAGAACACAGCCAGAATTCAAAGACAATTCCCTTAGCTAGCCCTAATTCAAAATAGATTTAAAATTTTCGGGGATGGCAAAGCTATCCTTTCACTAATAAATCATAAATAACCTCTTTTTGACTAAAATGCGCCCACGAGCACTGCCAAAGCGATGTAAAAGTACAGTAAGGCTAATAGACGGCAAACTTCATACTGTGCCTCTAAAAGGTGTTCTGTGCACGGAAGCTTAGTTCACCGATTTTAGGACACACTTTCTGCCATCTTGGCAGGCTACGAGATGTCCAAGAAACTCCTCTCAGCTCCTGAAATACGTAAATGCTCCACGTAGCTCGCGAAGGAGCACAGACCAACAGCGACTTCCCAGTAACGCCACCGCACTTCCATGGCGTTTGCAATTACATCTCAGCGACTCCCGAACCCGAAGCGCTGCCGCCGAGAAACCCTAAAAGCTGCCCCAAGTGCAGCCTCACGCCAGGAGCCTTCTTCCTTGAAAGAGGTTTGAAAAAAAAGAACAAGAAACAGAAAAACCACCCCCACTACCCCCAAAAAGAAAAAAAAAGGGGGGGGAACCCAACCAAGTCCAAAACCAACCAAAACCAACAATCGAAAAGCCCAACAAAAAGAAAACTTTCATCACCTCGGCATTTTTTCCGAGTTAGCCGCGAAGTTACTCCACCCGGCTCCGATTGTGCAACGGCGAGGCGGCGGCGCGGAGCGCGCTCCCGCCCGGCGCGGGGGGCGAGGCGAGGCGGCCGGCGATTCCCGGCCGGGTGGAGGGCCGAGGCGGTTTACAATGCGGGAAAGAAGTTGCACGCCAGCGGTGAGAGACCGGCCCGAGAGGCGGACTGCCTGCCCCAAGAAGAGCGGCGATCGGACCGAAACCCTTTCCGTTTCGGTACGGCACACCCGTACCGGCACCATCCGGGCCGGCCGACAGCGGAGGGACAGTGGCGGAGACGGTAACGCCGAGCCTAAGAGGCTCCAGGTTGCACTGACATTTGAGTGTCCCCGGGAGCGGCGCCTCCTGCACCCCGGCCTCAATCGAGCCGCGCCCTGCTCTCAACCGAGTTCCCCCCACGCCCGCCCTCTGTGGCCCTGGCCGACCTCCGAGGCCCCGGGCCTAGGCCGGGAAAAAGCGGCCTCACCGCCCCAGCCGGGCCGCGGCCTCGCCGAAAGGATCCGGCCGCTACCCGGTCTTGCTTCGCCGGCCTCCTGCCTCTCCCCCTTTCGCCCGGTGGTCACCCCCTCCCCCCGAAGCCGTGCCCCTCTCCTCCCAGGCGGAGAACGGGAAAGGAGAGGGAAAAACGGAAAATAGAAATTAACAAAAAAAAAAAAAAAAAGAAAGAAGCCCGACGGGGGGAGGAGGGTGGCGGGGGCAGGCGGAGGAGGAGCTGCCGCGCTCACCTTGTTGATGCGTTTCAGCGCCATTGTGTGCGAGTGCCGCCGCCGGGCCCGTCTGTGCGCCGCGGTGACTCCGCGCTCCGCTCGCGCCGAGGGGGGGCCGGGAGGGAGGGAGCAAGCGAGGAGGAGGAGGGGGAGGAAGGCGGAGAGGGGGAGGGGGCAGAGGCTGCAGCCGCCCTGCGGGCAGCGAGGCCGTGCGCTGGAGAGGCTGCCGAGGACCGCGCCTCCCGCCGCGCTGCTCCGCCACCTCCCGTCAGCACCGGGAGAAATCCCCCGGAAACAGCCTGCCCGAGAAAAAGGGGGCGCCCGACCGGAGCGCTGCAGCCGCCCTGCGGGCAGCGAGGCCGGGCGCATGCGCCGGCGATGCGTACTGAGCGGTAGGCGCCGGTTCTTAGCCGGAGGGCAGGGCCGGGAAAGGAAGGTTCTGGGACGGCGCACGGTCTCCTCAGGCAGGGCAGCGCTTCTGCCGTGCCGCTTCTTGCCGCCGACCGAGCGAGGCTGCCCGCGGGTTCCGCGGCGGCCGAACCTCCATCTGTGCGGTGACGCGGTAGCGGGTATCCCTCCGCGCGTTAGCCGGCACCCTCAGCGGCCTGTCAGCGCCCGCGGGTGGCAGTGGGAGGAGCTAGCTTGTCCGCGGCCTGTCTCCGGTCGGACCGTGCTGGGTGCCGAGCATCGTCTGTACCGTGCTAGGTGTTGGAGACGCCTGCTGCGGGCCCTGCCCCTTCGCCAAACTCGGTGTCCGTGTGGCTGATCGGTGGGGCAGTTGGAAGGGACTGCTTCTGCAGTGGCGCGGCAAGGAGCGAGGCTGGGGCGTTCCATCGGCCTCGAGAGAAGAAACGCCGGCACCTTCGCACCCGCGCCGCTGGGGCTCGGCGGTGCGCCTCGACGGAGCCCTGAAGCCCCGGGGTTTGCAGCCATCGGTGCAGTGCCGGTGCTGCAGCAAAAGGCCTGCTCTGGCCTGGGGGAGCGGCAGTATCGGGGAGGAGCGCAGGGCTGGCCTGATGGTAACGGGCCTGGACGCTTTGGTTTAAGAGAGCATACCAGCACTGACAAATAAAGCACACCAAGTTTCTCAGTCTAGGGAGAAAGACGACCAAAGGGAAGATGCAGCAACAGGCTGCCAGCGCAGGGGCCAGGCTCACCAAATACTACTTAAAACTGTTCTCCGCTGGGCTCTTTTCTCACGGTAATAAATTGTGTAGGTTTATGTATAGCTGTGTATATGTGTAAGGGGAAGGAATCCCCCTCTGCTTCTGTAACAGGCAGAGAACGGATGCTAGGTTGCCCTTCTGCTGCAACAAGGGGATAGATACATCGTGTTAATAAACATGGCATTTGCTATCCAGGGAGTATGGATACGTAATTAGCTACATCGACTGCACTGAACAGTTTGCATTCATTATAGTGCCTTTATTGTGCTACTGTGTTCTTGCTATCTAGGCTGGTAATTATTGTCTGGTGAAAGCAGCATGTTCAGAAAACCTGATTGTGTAACAGTGTTTTCAGTATGAAGCTTGAGAGTAGCCACCAGTGAATTACAGGAGCAATGCTTTATTTATTTTACAAATAGCACTGTAGTAGGACCGTCACAGTTTTTGAGCATTCATATCATGTAAAGGTGGGAAAGAAAGCAATGCCATATACTCCAATGTCCAGTTATCTTTCCGTGGTCACCTAAACCATTCCTAGTACTTCCTTGTCTTCATTTTCTGCTTATTATTTTAGTTGCACTGAGTGTCATATTTGGGAACAGCAGTCCCAAACTATCCATTAATGTTCTTATCATCTTAATCAAGCATATTGCTGAAAATCACCTTTCTGTTTCTTGCCTGCTTTAGGTTGCAACTGCTGTTAAACTGCTCCAGATCAACAGCGTGTCTGTCACAGACATATTCCTCTGCCTTGTAAATTGGTTACAAACTTCCTGAACTTTTTCATTTTTGTCATCTCAGGAGATTTAGGTACTTAACAGTATTCTAGTTCTACACTTTTAATTATTATTTGAGATTAATGACATCTTAATATGACTATTAAAAAGTTTTGTTTTGGCTTGGGATTCACATTTTACTGTATAATGAAAGCAATGCAGAACAGCACAAACATACTGTTGACAATGTGTAATTTTCCCTGCTAATTTTAGACAACAGGAATTGTTAATCTGGTAAATCAAGTTCTGTTTGTGTGCCTTTCAACAGTTACATGTTAAAAGCAGTATCTGTTATTAGCATTTGACTCCAAAGAGAATTTAAAATGTATTGGGATAGCTCTTGTTTCTAGCCATTGCTCAGAACTGGGTTTGCATATTTTGGTCCAGTGTACCTTTTTAGACAAACACTTTATTACACTCACTGGTTGTTTCTTTTAAACCAAATCCATCAATTTAAACATTCATCTTTAAATGTACTTGAGAAAAGGAATAAAGCATATTGACTTGTGTAGGAGTGACAAACAAGACGCATGCTCACAATTCTGTGGCCACTTCTGCAAGTCACAGCACACGGTCCTGCTTGGGTAACATTCTGCTGCTCGCTCTCGCTTCTTTTTTCCTCAGAAAGGTGAGGTAACAATCATGTATTTCCCCCTCGGTGGCTGGAAATAAACAAACTCAAATAGATCTTTTACTTCAGCAGAAATACTCAGGCAGTTAAGGCCTCATGACCTTAATATACTAATGGGCTATACACAAAGAGTTTCTCACCTTTACCACACACAGCAAGTGTACTATAATGCTACTTGCACACAGTAATATTAGATGCAAGAGGCACAGATGATGGTTACTGAATATGAGCATTGCACCTTATTGTGGAACTACCCAGTCTATTTGGGTTTGCCTCATTTTAATTTGATTTTTGAAGCTAATCCTCAGAAGGGGCTGAAGAGAGGTATTACCATGTCTAATCCTCATACGGTAGTAAAGTTGGTTAGATGTTCAGTGGTTTATTCTGCAAAATAGCTCAGTACTTCAGTTTGCACAGAAGTACTGAGAACAGACCAGCTCACTTGACCTCCCTCCTTGAATTTTGTTTTCTTTATCAAGTATGGCGTTACAGAGTCCTGTGCAGCCACTTGGCCAATAACCTCTCAAAGGCTGAACTGGCTAGTACATTTCAGCTGCTTTGTGATGGTCCAGCAGAGCAAGCATGAGTGGAGATTGCCTTGATATGTTGTCATAGCACTTTAGCTTCAAGAGGGCTTGAGGGAGGAGCAGACCAGCCTTAGTTTGAAGGTTAGTGTAGTATGCTCACACATGAATGTCAGGTTTTCTCTTCCACTTGCACCAGAGCAGCTTTTTCTACATTCTGAGCATGCTATTCGACCTGTCTTCAAAACAGCTAGAGCAACCAAGCACCCTGGACACTAAGCAGCATTCCATACAGGATGCTTTAAAAAACAGAGAGGAAAGAGAGAAACAAGATGCAAAGTGTGTAAAAAAAAAAATACTCCTTTTTAGCTAAGAAAAAAAAAATTACTTCAGCAAAGACAAGACACTCTTACTAGTCCATCCAGTAGATCATTATTAGTGCTTGTTTGGAGGAGACAAAACACAACAGCTTTTGCTGCTGCAAAACAAAGTGCCATGAAGATGAACAACAACAGCTTCCCCCTGTTTGCGTGTATTACCGGGCCTCAAATTTCAGCATCCTGTCCAACTTGTTTTTCCTTTAATTATCATAAATCATGCTTGCAGTCAAATCCCTCTTTAATCTGGCCAAAACTCACCCTATTGGGGCCCTTTTGATTCAATGCAGACCACAAACAGTAAGATCACAGAAGAAAGCTGATAAGACTGTTCCATCAGCTTTTTTAACACAAGAAATAAAAAAGCTGAATTTGCTAACCCACATGCCATTACATGACAGTGGAAGAAAAACAGGTTTAGGGATGTCACTGAGTTCTACCTGATCTGTGCTTTAAATATGAAAGGCCAGCAGCCCTTCCTGCGTAGCTGGGGCTTCTCCCCTTCAAGAAGGACAGCAAGATCACAGTTGCAGCCTTTGTACTGTGTGCTCAGTTCTCTGGCTTTTACACTGGGGAGATATCACTCCTCTTAAGAAGAGGCAGCAAAATCCTTCCACATCTGGAGTCCAACCCAACATCAGTATGTTGGGTAGCAGCTAAGGAATATTAGATAAAAAGTAACTTTGTCTCAATATTCTAACTTGGCAATTATTCATCTCCCATTGTTTCTTCAACAGCTTCTCTGACATTCTCACTGAAATAATTCATAAGCTATTCCACGTTTGTTTTGAATAGTTGTACTCTTTTGTTTCACTGCTAGGTCATGGGGCAAGACACCAGGTCCCTACATTAATCCATTTTACGCTGTTGCTGCTTTCTGTAAGGAGTTGTAAGACCTAATGTTTACGTCCACATATGAGTCTCAGTGAAAAGCTTGAGCGCTTTGTTGCATAATGCTAATGTTCCGCAGCTTGCACGAGGTTGTGTGGGATTTGCAAGGATATAAAATACTTAAGTAACTTACATTGACATCAGCAGACAAAAGTTCCCCACAAAATCTTCCAGTCATCAGGATTTTGTTCTGCACTTCACTGTTTAGCCTCATAGTGACAGCACAGTTTTCTTTCAGTTAGAGAAGATTTTTCTCTTCTTTTGAGATCCTTACAGAAAATAAGAGCTATTTGACAAGAAGAAAGTTTTGACAACATAAAATGCATGATGCTATTTTCACAGGCCTAAACAACGAAATCTCTGAAAACTGCTGCAGGATATTTATTACTATTCATACAGAGCATTCATTTTTTTCCCAGCAAAACTGCCATTTGATCTAAATGAAAAAGATATTCCTCTCAAGTCAGCAGCAGTTTGCGTCAACAAGAATGTTCATTTTCTGTGCTGATTCAGCTCTATGGATATCGAAGCATGAAAGTCAGATGAGCACGTGCACAGCATAATTGCAGTGCCAACTTTGAAAAATGAAAACTTTTGTTGGCATGCAGTTACTGTCTTTGTTTTCTTCTTTCAGATGAATTCTTTACATTCCTGAATAAACATAGATAATTTAAACATATGCGGCAAAATAGCATCTTAAAATAGGGGTGTGAAGGGCAGCATAATTAATCACAGTTACTAAAATAAGATAACACAGGCTGAATTCAGCAGGTGGAACACCTCTCTGGAGCAAACCAGTAGTTTTGGTAGG